TAAAAAAACAAAAACATTTACAGATATTTATTCTAAACAGCGGAAGTTAAATTACCTATTTATTAATGCAATCTCTGTTCCCTTTCTAAATTTCTTTGTTTCGCTTCTTTAAACGATCATCTGATGTTAAATGACATTAAAGGTCATCGCAACTTCGCATAAATTTAGATGTAATCACGTTCTTATGGAGATAAAGAGAAGTAGAAAATGCTTAAAAACTTCCAGAAAACTTCGAAGTCTCTTTGAATAAATTCTGATCTGAAATACAAGTTAAAATTCCCTGACCTATTCTTCTGCTCATAAAACCCTCTCCTGTATGACTGTGATATTCAACATATCAAAGGAAGTATTTGAGGCTGGGTAACCGCATCATCCCTCATGCAATAATGTATATTATATTACTTATATAAGTGAAAATTATATATATTATAATTATATATATTACTAGCAGTAGAGCCCGGCGTTGCCCGGGGATGTAACAGTAAGAGATAGATCAAGTATCGACCATCATAAAGACTGAAAAATAAAATTGACAAAGATTATTGTTTAAGGTTGACGGACACGTATGTCTTAATTAGTTTTTTTTTTTTTTACGAATTGGTCAAACCCAAATTCAAACAAAAATATTGTTTACAATCGTTATGAGTCTATCGATTGGTGAATAGAATTTTATTATAAACAATTGTCTTGTAAATGGATTTTTTAAAGCATTCTAAGTGTAAAAATAAAGAGAAAAATGTGCAAGACAATAAGAAACACTACCTGCCAAAAAAAAGTGAAGTTTTATTGAAATCTGTTGAAAAATGTAGGTAGCCTTTCTCTGTAATCTTTTACAGTTTATGGTTTTTACTTATTGAATACAGTAAAAAAAATTGCATATTTTGCTTGTGGTGATTCATAATTAGAATTCTGATTTGAATATATTTTCCACTCGTTGTTTCTAATACAAAAAATATTAACTTTAGTTGGGTTTATTAATTTATTACAAGTACTGTGTTCTTTCCTTAATAATTATCATCTTCGAAATATTGTTGTTTTTTGTCTATCAGATTTCTTACGTCGGCATTTTTAAATTATTTCTTAATACTTTCTTTTAAATATTGAATTAATTTCAAATAGAACCAATGCCTTATTGATCTGCCTTGTAACAAATTGCAAAGGAAATTGTAAAAAACGGCCCTAAAGTACGTGGAATTATCTTTCCCTAAAGATAAAGAATTATCCGATTTTTCGATTCGTACAATCAGTAGAGATCGTTAGATTATTGTTTAGGTTGACGGACACGCATGTCTTAGTTTGTTTTTTTTACGAATTGGTCAAACCCAAACTCAAACAAAAACATTGTTTTCAATCGTTATGATGAGTCCCCCGATTGAAAAGAATTAGAATTTTATTATAAACAATTGTCTTCTAAATGGAATTTTTAAAGCGTTCTGAATGTATAAATAAAGAAAAAGGTGTGCAAGACAATAAGAAACACTACCTGCCAAAAAAAAAAAAAAGTGAATGTTTGTTTATCGGCTGAAACATGTAAGAAATCCGATCCCATATATAAAGGAACACACACACAAAAAAACAATCTGGGTTTTTTAACCTAAGTCACTCCACGGAATCGCTAAAACACAGAGCATAGTATGATGAAAAAGACGCCAAAGTTTGTGAAAACAAAAGGTTATCGTCAAAATGCTTATGTTTTTATGAAGAGGATAAACTAAATTTTTTTTTAATTATTTTTAAAAATTTTTCCATCTTTTTAGAATATTCTAAATTTTGATTTAAAAAACATTGTTTCTCATTGTCGCAACAAGGGGTAGTGAATAACAGATAATTTTTAGCGCGTTTTTTGTATTTACACACATTAATTTGGAAAATCTTGCAAAAATAAAAATAATTGTCAGATGTTAATGAAACTTTCAGAAACTATTCACAGATGATCGAAATTATTATAAATATGTTTTTTTTTATTAAAATCATGGCAGAAATATTTTTTTATATTTATTATCACCCCCATAACTAATTTTATGAAAAACTCTAGAAATTCGAAACCATCGATTTTAGTGATTACAATAGTTAAAAGCACAAGGCTTTGAAGAATGCAAATCATGTTTTTTTTTTATTTGGCCAACGCACCTGAAAATCAGCTGTGAATTGTAACATACAAAACTCAATAAAACAAATATATTAATTATTTAGTTTCAAATGCTTTTATTTGTTTTAATTTGATTTTATGAATATGGACAATATTTTCTGAAAGCAAAAAAAAATTTCAATGAAAATTGAATTTTTAATACAATTATTTCTTATTTCTTTAATTTTTAAAAATATTTTAACATTAGTTAAAAACAACATCAACCTTTCAAAATGTCCGTGTGAGATTGTCATTGTCTAGCGCTTTGAAAATTGTATAATTTGGACCAATCAGATTAGCCATGGTAATTAAGAAATGTAATTTTTGTGTTTATAGTCGGACAGTAATTATCAAGTACGGAAGACCAACCAGAATCCAATTTAGTTGCATTATTTGTGTTCAGCATTGTTCTCCGCTGTTAAGCCCTTTACTTTTGCGAAACACGTATGGAGAAGTTAATTTGAGTTTTCAATTTCAACTAAGAAGGGTACCTACAAGTAACAGTATCATTTTATGAAATTTAACTACTGCTAAACTTTAATTTATATGATCTTATTTTTATATTAATCTCAGTTATGACATTTTTCCATCAATGAAATATCAAAATTAATAATAAAATGTATGGAAATACAAATAACACAGTAAAATGCAATAAATGTACATAAAATTATAGTATTTTATGTACACGTCTGATAAAATTTCATAAGAAAGGTACCTAAATTAATTAGATACCTTTTTCTTATGAAATTTAATCTCACTTAACAGTCTTATTTTTAATTTCTTTATATTTTCCATAAAGGCATCGTAAACGTAAAAATGAAAGATAAGTACAAAAAAATAAAAAATAAAAAAATAAAAAATTAGAGCGCTGAAAGTTTTTCTTAAAAGTAACGAGGTAAATAATTTGTTCCCTTAAATAATTTCACTTCCTTTCATCCGTAGAAAGAATTCTCCTCCCGTAAGTTATCTAAACGTCATGAATGTGCCTTTCGTCAATCGTCAAGCGACGCGAAAGGTTATGACCTGCTTTGTTTTATTTTCAAATTACATTTTTTCGGCGCAGAAGCCAAGTTAAGCTTGGTTCAAAATATTTCAAATAAACAGTATAATTTCTGTTTTTATTAAAATAAGTTTTGAAAAAATGATAATTGATTTTTAAAAGAATATCAAAGTCAGATTTTAATCTTTTTTATCAAATCGAAAAAAATGATTGAAAATGATTAATTATCTTTCCTTTTTTTTTGACCAAAAAAAACAAACAATATTTTTAACGAAAATTTCAGACGTGCTAGGAAAGATTAAAAAATGTAAAAAAAAAAATACCCCCAAAATACTTTGATCTTTCCTCTTTAATAATATGAACATTAGACGATAAAATTTTGTTTTCGTCAAGTTCGGCTTTTTTTTTCATCATGCTATGCTCTTTTGTTTACATTTTCGTGGGTGAGTTGTCCCCCTTTCCTTCTCACGATGTGTCTTAATCGTGATTTCAAATTGATTTTGTTAAAAAAACAGTTGTGTTTTTCCCATTTTCGGCGCCGTTAGAACCACCACAAGGTAATTTTATGTAGTCCTGTGAAGTTTTGTTGAAATCGGCTAAAAAATGTAGGAAATTCGATCCAATATATAAACGTTACAGACATACACACACAATCTGCGTTTTATAATAATAAGATATACGTTATATTACTTATGTGTGTGTGTGTGTGTGTGTGTGTGTGTGTGTGTGTGTGTGTGTGTGCAACGAATGCACAGCCGCAATTTTCGACGGATTTGCAACATAATTTACATGCACATGCTCCAAGTTAGTGGAAAGGCCAAGACCAACTTTGCATTTCGCAACTCCCATCGATAGTGGAAATAATCGATTTTTTCATGCTTCTACGACAGTTTTCGTATAGTTTGCAGCCATTTTATACTGGCCAGAGTGAGAGCCAACAGCTGACTGACACGAATGTTAACTAGCATGCAAAAAAATCGATAGCTGCATCCGTCACAAGTGGGAAAAATTTAAATCTGCATGGCACTTTACTCCAATTGGCTCATTCGCTTGCTTAAACTTAACGTTGATTCTGATTCCGCAGAACTGGGTTGGTTGTGATAAAGTATTTGTTGTTAACATTCTTTTTTCATTCGGTTTTTCCAGTTACGAGTCCTTTTTTTAAAGCTGATCATTTTGTGTTCATTTTGTTTAGTTCTTTTTTCGTAACAGATTTAATGTTTAGTATAGAGCTTAGAAAAAATTCGCAGTGTGAGATAGGCAAGAAGTAATGCATGTAGCAATATCAGCAGGGCACTCCTTTAAAGGCAAGGAAGGGCAAAAATAATTTAAGTCAAGTGATAGCGATTGCTGTATGAGTCGTACGATTATTGAATCAAGCACGGGCAACGCCGGGACATGCTGCTAGTTACTTATATAAGTGAAAGTTTATAATGTTCGGTTTCTTTCCGTGCCCACGCGTCTGTTGAAGACCAACAAAGCCCACCTTTGGTTTATGCAGCAACGTTGCTGAGAACAACTTAGCTGCAGTTTCAGACAGAGAGAGAGAGAGACAGAGAGAGAGAGAGAGAGAGAGAGACTGACAGACAAACAGACAGAGACAGAGAGACAGAAAGAGAAAGTGTTAGTTTCGTGTTAACATAACCATAGACGGCTTATGAATATTTTCGTCTATTCGATTTTACACACAAGTTATGCATCAACTTGTGATATTAAAGCTATACCACAAGTTGATTCGAGACTTTTCAGGCGGAGCCGCTTAATCGGAAGCGCTCCTCTGTATCCCCATTTCTAATAATTCCCTCCCCTCCAAGACAACCTGACTATATGGGCCACACGACCGAAAATCGAACGTTCTAACAACCACTTGGCTTACGGCCACATTGCGTTGAAACATCGGTTCTTGTACGATCACGGAAGTTAAGCAACGTCAAGTCTGGTCATTACCTAGATGAGTGACCGCTTCGGAATGCTAGGTGTTGTAAGTTTGGATGTGCGTGTAGTGTAATGGATAATGGCGCTGTAAATCGGAGAGCCGAGTTCCAGTTCAAGTCGGTTTCGTTATATTTACTTACGCGGAAACATCCTTGAGATCAGTAAGAATCCACCACTTCTCCCCCAGCTATGGGGTAATTAGTAGGAATTTTATCAGTAAATCATGATTATCTTCAAAAAATAATTATAATCCAAATATTTTTCTGAATTTAAAAATCATACAAAAGGTTGATATGTCGTAAAAAACGAATCAATATACACACTACTTAGCCAAGCTCCCATGGACTTACCTAAAGATATAAATTTAGTATAATTAAGCATGTTTTATTAAAAAGTACTGACATTCTATGTTTAGTAAACTGGAGGACCTTACACGATTGACATTATTCGGACTATTGCCCTCATCTTTCTCGCCATATTTATTGCAACGTTGGAATGTCAACTGAACCCTTTATTTCTCTTACTGGAGTAAACTGTTCTAGTTCCACGTGCCATGTCTAATGATCTCTAATGGAAATCAGTTACCTCATGTTAATTCCCCGCTCCAAGTTCTCCACCGCCTTAGCTCACACACTTTGGGTCCTGTCATTAACTAACGCCTTTATCCACTGTGCCATGTGTCCTGGAGTGTATGAATTTCTGGGTATTATAAACCTAAAGTCTACAGCTCATTTTTTACCAGTGCTCATATTGCAATTTTTGCTGTTATCATTTTATGTTTTTCACCAGAGCTCATATTGCAATTTTCGTTGTTATTATTTTCACTGGCACTCCTTATTACTGGTTCCCATAGTATTCATTTTGTGACAGGACCCAAAGAATGTGAGTTCAATACCTGGTTAAGGTAGTGGAGAACTAGGAGAGGGGAATAATTGATAACTGGCATCTATTAGACATGGCACGTGGAACTAAAACACTCCGGCGAGAAAAATAAAGGGATCAGTTTGACATTTTAAACACCTGAAGAAGGCCGGAGCGTACAACGGCCGAAACTTTGTGACAAATATGGCAACAAAGATGAGGACAATAGTTCGAATAATGTAAGTAGTGTACATAATACCTCATCTCAGAAATATAGACAGATTTTGAAGGCCTTATTTTCTAAATTGCGGATAATCATTCACAAACTTGTCTACTGCAGATGCAACCACTATCGAAAATCACACTGTCAAACGTTACCATAACTCTAGTAGTGGTCGTTAATGGACTGTCTAATAATAATTAGAAAAAAATGCTATTAGTATATTATAAAGAACCCTAATAACTATAGTAATGTTAGACAATTTCTTACATATAATACCAAAATAATGCTTACACCAGAAAAAAAGTCCTAAAGTTATTGAACTCATTTACAAACAATAGAAACAATTTTCTATCAAGAAATAATAGTCTCCAACACTGCATTCTTTAATGCATATATATATATATATATATATATATATATATATATATATATATATATATATATATATATATATATATATATATATATATATATATATATATATATATATATATATGCACATTTCACTGAAAACGACAGTCAAGGTGCTTTTATTTAGTTTTTTTATACAATTTCTCATGCGATCAAATAATTTTTTTCTTTTCAGATGATAAATTATATAAAACGTTCGAATGTTCTTTTTTTATCGAGCGCTTTCGGCTATACATTTAGCCATTTTCAAGGATTATATTTTAATTGTTAAAATAAATAGTTTGTTGTATGTATGTTTTATAAAATGTTTTCATTTTTCAAAACACGGTCAAGATATAATGTCCATGTTCAAAGTTAATATTATTAAGTCTTGGTTTGTTTTTATTAATAAGGCTTCCATTATTTTTAGCCTTTTCTTGCATGTAGATGATGCTATTATATTAGTGTTGTCAACAAGAATGTTACGGATAGTGTCCGGTAGGTCTCCATGAATATTTAAATGAGATCTAATTGAGCTATTGTCAGAAAGGTGTAGAGAAATTGTAGAAAAAACTAAGTAAAAGCACCTTGTCTATCGTTTTCAATGAAATGTACATGAAAGAAGGATTGCTGCTTAAATACACAAATATATATATTTATATATATATATATATATATATATATATATATATATATAATGAATTTCTAAGCATAGACTAAATGTTGCACAAGGCCGAAAGTATGGGGCACCCAGTGAGGATAGAACTCGCTACTCAGTCGTAATTGTTTTAACGAGACAAACTTGCTGACTATCACACCCCCTTGAGTTGTCTATATGAGTAGTGAGTTCTATCCTCACTGGGTGCCCCATACTTTCGGCCTTGTGCCACATCTAGTCTATGCTTACGAAATCAATATATATATATATATATATATAAACTTTTCCCCTTTCAATTGGTTTAGAAAAACCAAATATCAGACTTATCTTTTGAATAATCATCAGTGAAGGCTTGGAAGAATCATTTTTGCCAACTTTGTTGTCGTCATTCATATCATTATCCGATTCTGAGTAAATAACGCTGACATTATTACTTTATTGTCATATTTAGAAAAAGAAGTAGACCCTATTTAGAATGGCGATATTTTTAGATATTTCAAAATTTCAACCTTGGATCCAATGGACTAAATTAGAGAAGTAACACATGAAAATTTTAATTTTTTTGTTCTAAATTTATTTTTTATATAGATGATAGACAAACTAATATTCACAAAATAATTCGGATAGAATAACTATAAGAGTGAAAAAAATTAATTAAAAAAAGATTATGGGTCCATTGGGCTCATTGGTAGACTTCTAATTTATTTTGTCTTTTTATGTGCCATCTCCTTTCAGGACGTAGCGATCATGGCTCTCCACCTCCTTCTATCCCTTGCGGCTCTCAACAAGTTCCTTCCCTCTGCCATCTCCCACAGACCACGTTCTGTCATCCACTTGCTTAAGCCCGCCAGGTATGTCACGCGTTGTTTACCCTTGTCTCTCTTTACCTTTATTCAACCCGTGAGTATTAGATTCTCCAGGCCCTCCTTCCTCATTATGTGTCGCAGAAACTTCTGCTGCCTCTTCTTGATGTTACGTATAAGCCACCTTTTTGTTGCATTCTTTATAAAACCTCACCGTTGCTCACAAGCTCGATATCCTTAGCATCCGTCTGTAGAACCACATCTCTGTCGAGTCCTCTTCTTCATCTTTGAGGAAATCGTTCAACATTCGCTGCTGTTAAGAAGAACAGATGTCACGTAACAGCAGAATATTCTTTTCTTTGTTAGCTGCTGTCTCGAAATACTCTGCCCAGTTTTTGGAATGTGTCCTTGGCCATCCCAGTACGTCTACTGATATCAGTGTCGTACTTACCGCCCTCTGTCAAGTTGCTTCCCGGATATTTAAACTTCCGCGTCTGCTTGACTCTAGTGTTCCCGACTTGTAAATCTCATTTCGGACTCATCTTTTTGCTGTTGACCATAATTAGCTTGTCTTAATTCCGTTCATGATCACTTTCATAGAGTTTCTTAGACCTTTTAAAATAGCTAGTGATGGAGAATTAGACGAAAATACACACTTCCCGTCCCATATACACATATTCATCAACCTCAAATATTGTTTCTTATAACTGCTGCTTTGGAGATAAATATTTGCGGAACACTAATCATTTGACAGGAATGACGTCGGTAGCTTTAAAAATTTTAGACGGTAATATTGGTCTGGTATAAACACAGATATTATTACTTTTAATAAAAGTTCATTAGCATAAAACATTCAGAGAATGCCAATACATCGATACATATAGACTATACTTAAATATATTGACTACTAGAAGTAGTTATAATAAACTTTCATACAACAGACAGAAGCTCTTTATAGCGAAAACTAGCATTCACTTCCGTTTTTAACATCTTTATGATAATACTGCTTGTCTTTTTCTTTGTTAGTTACTTTTTCGCACGAATATTATGCCTTGTCAATACCTAATAAATATTGGACTATTCCGTTTTGACCGCATGAAAACAAGTAAAATACATATCAAAGACGCTACGTGGTTTACGTGAGAAGATGAAGGCAAGAAAGAAGCAAAGATAAAAAATGTTTAAAGTACGTGTCAGTGACATGGAAAATGTCAGTTTCAAATCTTTTCAGTTTTATATCATTACTACTTAAAATAACCACCGACATCCATATATATGATTCTTATTGGAATATTTTAAATTTGTTAAGCTCAAATATTCAACGATTCGATAGGCGAATCTCTATGGACATTTTATGGTCGTAGTACTTACTATGACCATATTGAATCATTAATATATGAATTAAGATTCATCAGAATATTTAAATAGGAAACTAGTAAAATTTTCGCGGGTCATTTTGTTGTATTAAGTTAACTCCAACAACAAGTAATTGATCCGTACTGGGTATAACTTCGAATTCAAATAATGACAGCGGATAAATCAAAATTTAAAATTAATATAGTCTGGCACAAGGTCGCACCAGTGTAATCATCTGGTGATGTTCGATTCTATTATAATTATGAAAGGCTTTCAATGATACTTTCTTATATATCATTTTAACCCTGCAGTAGCCACATGGGGTGTTTTGTTACCATTTTTTTAAATTTCCTAGTTGGCAACTTGTTTATTTTCTTCCTTCCAACTATCATTCTGAATCCGTTACGGCGTGTAGCACGTGTTATGGCGCAGATATAACAGACGCCGAGGGGGTATATATTCGAGAAATCTGAGGTGACTAATGCAGGGTTAAAAGAGGCCCAAATTCGTTGCACGTACAGAAAAGAAACGTACTGAATAATATTTTTATAACGTTTTTTTTATTGCTAATACACGCGGATATTAAAAGCTGAAATCCATAGAGTATTAAGCGAAACAAATGAACTATTATCTGAAAAGAAGACCATATGTTAAGTCTTCAGCAAAAGAGATTGCTATCTCGGTAATTTTGTAAGAGAGAACGGAAAATGGGATACAAATCCAAACGCACATTGGGATAATGCAAGAATCTTTCCAGAG